CCACTGTCCTCCTGTCCTATGTGCCCACTGGCCTTTTTTGCTAGGACAGCTCTTAAGAAAGGCAGTGAACCCACTGTCCACTTTCCCAGTCAGCCCTCTGCACTGCCGGGCTTTCCTCCTAGCAAACACCACTCTCTGATGTTATCTGTCTTACACATTTCTCATTTCCTGCCTTTCCTAACCATGGTGCTCTATGCCTGTGGATCTTCATCATTCTTATTTCTGTATGGACCCTGCCACACAGACCAAGTCATCCATAAAGGTTTCTTTATCTCCCACACTAGTTAAAAGCCATCTTTGTGACTCATTGGTTATACCATATTGTATTCACACCACACTGTAATTGTCTTATTTACTTAAGTATGGAACTACTGTTGGTCATTTAAAATACCATCAGTTTTGAAATGGTACCTGGTACAAAGTAGACACAAGGAAGCTATACCAATTTTTCTTCTTTTCAATTATTTGCTTTTGATAAATTTCCTAGAATGGAATTACCAAGTCAAAGTGAAAAATAACTTTTAATTCAACACAGAAGAACTAGTATCTCACCCCTCAATTTTCTCCTTAGGGTAATGAGATAAGAAGTTAATTTTAGAAATAGATATTTATATTATTTGGCACCTACTATATGCCAAATCTTTGTGATACATCAGTTGGCAAAAATGATATCTTTGAGGGAGTTACATTCTAGCCAGAGGGCAAGAATGTGACAATAAATAATGAACATCACATAGAAAGTTAAGAAGCAATGGATACTACACCGGAAAGAAAGGGGTGCTGCAGAGCACGAGACAACGGGCCAGGGTCAGGTTTAGACCTTGTCGGGATGGTGACTTGGAGAGAAAACACTGCCTATGAGCTCCTGCGACACCTGGGCGAAGGGAAGGATGCTCTGCGGAGAAGAGAGAGTGGGCAGAGGCAAAACTGAAGAGGAGCAGGACGAGGGAACTTCTTACTCTTATGGACCACAAAAGGCATAAAAGACAGCCTTATCATTTATGATTCACACGCATCCAACTCTCCGGTCTA